ATCTCTTTTGCCACAATAAAACATCCCTTATAACAAAAAAATTAGAATGAGATGGCGGGGAAGACATTTCTAGAAAACTTAATCCACACATCATTCCAGTCTGACTGTGTATGTAATGTTCCACGGCCATAGCTGCCCCCCCCCGCCCCCACCATGGAAAGTCATGCATTTGCTAATGTCTTCTTTGAGACCAAGCTTGGCTATTGTCATTAGGTCACATTCCTCTTCCTTTTCTCTCTTTTCTTTTCCTACGAAGAAACACATTTTTAACTTTCTGTCAATAGGACCTATGCCTCAAGTTTCCTTTTCCAGTAGAGGGGATAGGCGAGCTGTCACCATCTCAGCCTCTTGCTGAGCCCCTCCCGACCAGGGGCGTGCGTGTGTGCCAGGTGAAAGACTGGCACACACGCCAGGTCAGGTGCCAGGTCAGGGCTGTGGGATCCAACCCTCACATTAAACAGAGCCCAATCTGGTGGCTGCGTATGGAACCTGGAAAGAATGGTCAGCTTCTTGGTAAAGGAATGCCCATGCCATCAGGCCACTAGGGGGCTGAAGCAGCCAGGCCATGTTCCTGAAGAGGCCCTGAGAAAGTCTTCAAGAGCTGGCATAACTTTGACAAGCTTCTCCTCTTTCCCTAGGGAGTAGCCTATTTACTGAGAAAATTCTGAGGTGGCACAGCACTTCCTGTTCTGGCATCTGTGGCGTCAGACAAGACTGAGCCAAGCACAGGCCTTTACACATAGTAAGCGATTAATTAATAAGTGTTTATGGAATTCCTGCTACTGGCCATCTTGGTTGATGCTTTGGTTTTTGCTGAAATGCTTTTTTTTCCTTCTCTGTCTTCTCTAGTCTCTGTTACTGGGAACAGTGGCTGGCTGGGTAGGTTGAGAGGGAGAGGACAGGGCTCCATGGGCCAAGGGTAATAAAGCTGTAAATAACAATTGTATGTATTTCCCTCTAAGCTCGGAAAATGGGCTGGCAGGAGCATTCAGTCATCTTATCTGCCATGGTTATGATGATGGTCCCTGAGCAAAGGGCCTTCCATGTATCTAGGGAGCGGATTCTCCATTTCTCTTAAAGACATTCTGGTCAGGCTCCTAAAATCAATCAACAAACATTTACTTATCTCCTACTATGCTCCAAGAACTGGAGAGACCAAGACCAAAATGAAATAAATCGTTCCTGTCTTCAAGGAGCTTATATTGTAGAAATAGCATGTGATCCTATAACTGTATACCAGGACGTTTGCAGTAGAAACCCTAGGAGCTGGAGAAGGGAGCATAGGGGCCAGGTAGTCCAACCCCCTCATTTTACAGATCAGGAAACTGAAGTCCAGGAAAGGTTGCACAGATTAGAAGCAACGAGGACAAATCCCTTCCCCTCCTTGGGCCTCAGTTTCCTTCTCTGTACAGTAAGGGATCGGACTCTCATGACCTCCTAGGGCCCTGGCAGCTCTAGGTCTGGGAGCTTGTGTGCGCCTGTTAGTAAGGCACTTCCCTGGCTCTCTAGTTCCTCCTCTGTACAATAAGGAGGTTAGATTGGTGGCCTCTGAGGTCCCTTCCAGCTTGAGAGTGAGGGTCCCTATGACCACACCTTCACAGTCACATGACAACTGAAATGAATAATAATTAATGATTTACAAAACAAGCAATTGACTTAATGGGGCTTAAAGATAGCAGCCCAGCGGTGGCTTTAAAAGCCTTGGATGTCTTGTGCAGAGTTGTGCATGGTTAGGAGAATCTTCTACAAATGGGGAGGTTCTCCAGCCACTCCATTTTCACGTGATTGCCTATGTTGATTGTATTAAACCCCACAAGGCTCTGGGCCCGAAGACACCCTCAGTGAGATCCATGACCAGTCAAAAGATATTGATGTGGTAAGACCTAAGGGAAAAAGTCCAGTGGATGAAAAATGCATAGTGCCCAGGCTACACCATTGGCGATATCCCGTCGGATGAGCAGCTTATCCAGTTAGTCCATCGTTGGCATCTCTCTTGGACAGGCCCCGAATTCAACCAGAGGAAGAGATTGGATGGAATCCCTTGTGGAAACTTTCAGTGACCCCAACTTGCTCTGTTCTATTTCATGTTTGTGATGCTGTAGAGCTGTGAATCATTCAATACCACCATTGCCAAAGCCTCCGAATGGTGTGTGACTCAAAGGGTGACAGAAAGACACTTGGTGTGGAGAGGTGGGGTGCAGCCTATTCCCCATGAGGAGTGTTTGTAGAAAATCCCTCCAAAGACATATATGACCAGGAAAGAATAAGGGTGAACAATCACATACTGTCCCATAATTGAACTCGGGGAATCCAATGAAGTCAGCTAGAGAGAGGACAAAAAGAAAACAGAAGCTGGCCCAGGGTACATCCTTGCATGATTCCTCATACTTGGGGGAGGGGGGAGGTGATGATGGATGAGCCAGCGTAGGAGGCTGAGAAGGCATGGTAATATGGCGCAGGGGAAGAACATGTAGGGGAACAGTGTCAAGGAAAACAAGGCAGGAGAGTGACTGGGAAAGGTGAGGCCCCCATATGTCGGAAGCAGCAGAGCATCAGGGAGGAGGTCAGGACTGAGACAAGGCCCCCAAGCTCATGGAGGGTAACTTCGGAGAGAACACTTGTGGTGAGGCACTGGGGTCAGAAGCCAGATCACAAGAGTGATCAGGAAGTGGGTGGGGAGGAAAGAGAGGCCAACAGGGGCTGTTCTTTTGTAGGGGCTTAGCAGTGAAAGGAAGACGGGCCTAGCTTGGTAACTTGAAGGGTTGATAGGATCGAGGCAAGGCTTTTGTTGAAGGATAGGGAGAACCTGAGCGGATAGTTGAAGGCCCCAACCTAGCTTTCTGCTGTACTCCAAGGGAGCATAGGGTAAGGAGAAAAGTTGAGGATTTGAGCAGGGCCAGAGCCACTAATTTGGGGAGTGTGCCTGGGGCTGAGAGACAGTGACCAGCTGGAGGCCTAGAGTACTTGTCATTTGTGGGTGGAAATGTTTGGGGGGGGAGAATCCACACCTGTCATTTCCTGTGTGAGAGGCTTGGCCACCTGTAACCCTCCACCTGCTCTGTAACTCAGTGACAGCTGAAGGGACTAGCTCAGGGCCACCCAGCTGGGAGGTGTGTCAGAGGCTGGACTTGAACCCAGGGCTTCGTGACTCCTAGAGCACCTCTCTTGGTGTGGAAAGGAAATTTCTTATTTACAATTTAGGTCCACTGTCAGGAAAAGGCTTTCTGAGGCCCTTTAGAGGCAGCTTAGAATGTTTGTCCTGGAGTCAGGAAGCCCCAAGTTGAAATCTAGCCTCACACATTTACTAGCCATGTGACCCTGGATGACTGCTGTCAGCCTCAGTTTCCTCATCTGTAAAATGGGCATCATAACAACATCTACCTCTCAAGGTTGTCGTGAAGGTCAAATAAGATAACACGTACAGTGCTTTGCACTATATTTGCATTATGTAAGTGCTAACTCTTATGATTTACTATGTGTGTAGTTACAAGCTGAGGCAGAGAAATGTATCACAGAATCATCGATTTAGAACTGGAAGGGACCTTGGAGGTTGAGTTCCATCCCTTCTTTTTCTAGATAAGGAATTAGACTAAGGTCAAGAGAGGTTCAAGTGACTTGCCCAGGGTCACATAGCCAGTGAATGCCTGCAGCAGGATTTGAGCTCAGGTTTTCATATGATCATTGGACCACAGATTCCCATTCTAATGGGAGCTCAAAGGAATGCTTAGAGGCCACTGAGTCCAACGCCTTCATTTTACAGATGAGGAAACTGAGGGCCAGAGTGGTTAAATGAATTGTCCAGATAGTGCTTTTCTTAGGTAAGATTTGAACTCAGGTCTTCCTGACTTCAAGGTCCAGCACTCTCCACTGTGCCACCTAGCTGCCAACGGGAAGGGCAAGGGTCTTGACAGGGCAAGCAGGCTTCTGAAAAAGTGCCATTTTCTGCAGGTACTTATGGGTATAAAGAAAACTCTCAATCATTCTGGACCTTGGATTTACTGCCAGTCTGTCCCTGGCCTTGTGGGCAGTTTGTTGTGTTCTAGTAGGGAGGACAGAGACATTCTAATCTCCCAGCTTGTCACTGGCCTTGGGCTTCTGAGACAGGGTAGGCTGTGTCTTTTGGTTGGCCTTGCCCATGATCTATCTGGGTTTGTAAAGGAAGGTGAAATCCAGGGATTAGATGAGACTTAGATAGAAATGGAGGCCGTTCTAAAATGGCATTACTCATGTCAAGAAAGGGAAAATACTGTGCCTTTCTCTCCACGTCCCCCCTTCCCCCACTATTGACTCAGCCACGTTGCACAGGCCTTAAATAATCCTTGGGTCTAAACCTCTTCTTATGGCATGGCTTGGCCTGTGGGGTTCTACTGCTGTTCAGGAACCTTGTGGACGGTGCTGGGGGAGGGGTGAATCAAGCACCAGGGCTGGGGGTGAGCTGCTGCTGCCTTGCTAGGTGCACCATTTGGGTCAGGGATGGGGGAGACAGAGACCTGGGCACAGAAAAATTCTGCTCAATTTCTAGGTTGGACTGAAGAAATCTGAAATCTGCCCTATTGATCATCTGGCATGGTAACTTGATCGTTGTCAATCCCTCACAGTGGGGCCCCTGACAGCCTCGTAACTTCCCCTGAGCCTGCTGACCAGCCACACCCTGCAACTTGAGCTGGCTTTATTTGAGCCTCTGTCAACACTACTCCTTGAATCTTTTTCATAAATGGTTCCACAAGGCCTGAGAAACTGCCTGGCGTGGTGGTGCCAGGACTGTGAACTCCTTTAAACTTCCACTTGAAATCAATTTCCAACGTTGCATTTGCCATCCCGTGTGTGACTGGAGAAGGCCATGGGCCCCTGTCTTGGGTCTGCTCAAAATAGCAACTCTAACTTGCTTGTCACCTCTGTTAAGGCACCAGAGAGGCAGGCACCTGTCCCTGAGCTGGGTAATTATGGCCGGACCCTGAAATCTCTCTCTCTCCTTTCTCTGTTTGCTTTTTTTTCTTCAGGTTGACTCGAGCTGCCCTTGGCCAGAAGCTCAGTGCTCCTTGGAAGGAGAAGGCATCCCAGAAAAATGTTCCCAACTCAGCTGCAGCCAGACCAATAGTGTGAGTCAGATGGGCCGCACCCACAGATGGGGGAGGGGGGTGGGGAGGGAGCATGGCAGGGAAGGCTTGGAGACCATGAGCATGCAAAATGACAGGGTGGGACTACATGATCTCCAAGCACTTTTCAACTCTCGAATTATAGTGGCTGCCCAGAATCCTTTTGGCTTGCCTTTTTTTGGTCCATCAATTAACAAGGATTTACTAAGAGCCTACTATGTGCCGGAAACTGTGTTAGGTGTTAGAGATACAGTAAGGAAATAACCCTTGGCGCCGAGGACCTTGAATTCCATAGAGGGAGACAGAAGTCAATAAGCTTTTATTAATTACCTACTATCTGTCAGGTACTATGCTAGTCCCTGAGGACATGACTATATAAATGAAATGACCTCTGCCCTCAAATAGCTTACGTTTTAATGGAGGAGACATCAAGCAACAAACATTTATATAGCACCTACTGTGTGCCACACTCTGCTAGCTCTTGGGGATACAAAGGAAAAAGGGAAAAAGTTCCTGCCCCTAGGAGGAAATGTGTGTGTGCGCACATGTATGTGCATGTGCACACATGGAGACGTATATGTGTACCAAATCAATATATACGCTTTAGGAATGTCACTTTAGTAGCTGGGTGGAATATGGCCTGATGCAGGAAGAGAGGAATACGCATTTATATGGCACCTACTGTGTGCCAGGCTAAGTGTTTTACAAGTATTATCTCATTCGATCTTCACGACAACCCTTTAAAGTAGGTGCTACTACGATCCCCATTTCACAGATGAGGAAGCTGAGGCAAGCAGAGGTGAAGCAACTTGCCCAGGGTCACATAGTTAGTTAGTGTCTGAGGCCAGATTTGAACTCAGGTCTTCCTGACTCTAGGTCCAGCAAAGAAAAAAGAGACTGGATAGCAGATTGGAGGTTACCGATGGATTGAGCTCAGTTCTAGCCTGGCTTGTAAGTCAAATGTAAACCCATTAAGAACTCAATCAAGCCGTTTAGGGTTAAATGCCTGGTAATTGATTAGGGAATTCAACAAATCAGGGAGGCAGAAGAGAACAGCTAATAACAGATGGAGTTCTCAGAAGTCTCAGGGAGGGGACATTGGAAGTAGGCAGGAGCAGACATTCTCGTACACATACCCTGGGGTGTATGACACACCATGACACTCCTAGTAGAAGGACACTGGTGTATACAAATATAGGAACCTAACTGATTTTTATAATGAAAGTCACTTCAAAAAATGTATCTACTTCAATTTTTTGCCCTCCAACATAGTGTTTTTAAGAAGCCAACTCTTAAAATCGACCCTTCACCCTTCCTTGCAGAGGTGGGGGACTATGGCTGCAGAATGCTGCATCCACTGTCAGATGCAGTTGGTGTGTCAGTTGGCTTTGTTGAACTCTCTTTCCCCTCTTGTCTTTCCTACAAGGGATGCCAGGCTAGATAGGGGAGGGAGGAAGGCGATATTTGAAAATGAAGGTGATTTTAAAACAAAAGATATTAATAACATTTTAAAAAGAAAAGACACATCTCTTTCACAAAGGATGCCTATATTTCCATAGAACCATTTTTTTTCCCTCAGGACATAGGCCTTCAGAACAGACATCACGTTTGTAAGAACACTTGCCATTTCTTGCCTCATTTGAGACTCATAAGAGCCCTATAGAGAGACCCCAGGGAAAAAATGCTGGAAGATCCCGGCATACAACTAGGGCTTTATGTGGTGTCCTTGGGCAAGTCATGTTTCCTGCTTGAGTCTTGTCTCAGTTTCCTCCTGGGTAAAATGAAGGATTTGGACTGGAGAGCTTTTGTGGTCCCCCCCTTATGCCTCTAAATCCTGAATCCTCCATGTAACCCAGGGCAACTCACTTCCCCACCCTGGGTCTCAGTTTCCTCCTGTGTAAAATGAAGGATTTGAACTAGAGAGTTTCTGAGGTCTCCCTTTCTGCCTCTGAATCTAGGATCCTGTGACTCCCATGATCTTATGATAGCACCCCCACAAAACCTGAGGTGTGGACAATATTTCTTTAAGAAAAAAGGACTTGGCATAAAGCTTATATTTGTGAGTGTGTGTGTGTGTGTGTGTGTGTGTGTCTGTGTATGTGGGGGGGGGGAGAGTGGGGTGGGGGATACTGCTCTGGTGACTCCTGTAAATGTATTTTTAGCCTGGCCAAGTGTCAGGCAAATTGACACCATGGGCCCCGGGCCTTGCCGAGCTTGTCACTGCAGGGGTGGGGCGGAGGGAGCTTGGGTCAAATTGGTTCCTTCTTTGTACTTTTGGGAAATTCAGTGTGGCCTGTTTGCTTTAGGTAAGGCATTCTTGTTTCACTGACTCAAGAACAGGGTTCTTATCTTGTCGTGTTCTTCCTCATGGTCTTTTTCCTTATTGAAATAGCAGAGAGAGCCGTTGGGTGGGAGCTTGTAACCTCCTTGGGAGTGAGCTGAGGCCTTTCGGAGTTGTTCACGATATGTCTATCTCTATCTATAATTTATATATATTATTACATATACATACGTTGGTAAATATAGGTGTACATACTATACTATATATGTATATATAATATGTATTACTATATCACATAGATACATGTAAATATATTCATACAAGTCAATATGGATGTATGTGTATTCATGTATACATGTATACACAGACACACACACACACGCACGCACGCACGCACGCACGCAAAACAATCAAGCTGATGGGTATGGGATGTTTTCCATACAGAGGCAAAATCCTTGTATATGATTGCCAATGGGGAAGTAAGTTAAGCCCACGCCTTGGATGTGATTCACTCTCCCACTCCTTCATGCAGTGGGGCTCCTGAGCAGATCTAGGGACAGTGGGAGGAGTGTCTCAATGGATGCAGCTTCCTGACCAGGTTGCTCCGTCTCGGTTACCTGAGAAGTATTTCTCTTGCCTTAATCCCCATCCAAGGTCCAGGTAAGAACTTCTCTGTCATCCCACTCAGCAGCCAGCAGTGTGCTCTCTCTGCTTGCCTGCCTGCCTGCCAGCGTCTCTGAACCAATCCAAAGTCTCCTTAAGCCTGCCCTTCAGGGCTCTATTGTCTTCCATCTGGCTCCGTTAGACCTAGTCAACTTTCTCGCTCGCTACTCTTGGAAAAACAAGAACAAAAACAAAAAATGATGCCTTTTGTCTTTCTAGTATAGTTTACTTCCCACACACCCCTCCAGACCGAAACCTCTCTTGTGACAAAAAAAATCAAATTAAGCCAGTAGTTATCTGAGAACGTATTGTAGGATCCAAGGTCTAGATCTGAAAGGTACTTCAGAGACCATCAAGTCCAAACCCCTGACCTTTTACAGAGGAGCAAACTGAGGCCCTGAGTGAGAAAATGACTTGCCTAGGGTCACATAGCTCATCAGTGTGAGGTATGATTTCAACCCAGGTCTTTCTGACTCCAAGTCTAAGACAATAGGCTGCCTCACTCCATTCGGTCCTAGAAATGCTAAGGAACTCAGAGAACAAATAGGTCACTTTCTCAGGTTGAATCTTATCTGACGGTCTACTGTATTCTGTCCTAGTGATAAGAGCTAGCATTTCCTCATCTCTCTTTGCCATAATTCTCCATCAGTTCGTACAAATCTCCCTATGTTTCTCTGAATCCTTCATCTTTATAATTTCCCATAAGGCATAGCAATATTCTGTTACATTCGTGTACCACAATTGGTTTAACCATTCTTGAATCTGTTTCCAGTTCTTTGCTGCCACAAAATGTGCTATTGTAATCGTGGTGGTGTATGTGGTGCCTCTGTTTCTCTCCCTGATCTCCTTCTGGTATTTGCCCAGCAGTCAGATGGCTGGCTCAGAGGGCTTGGCCATTTTACTCACCCTTCTTAGCGTAATTCTAGATTTGCTTTCCACAATATTTGGACCACTTCCCAGCTCTACCAACAGTGCCTCGGTGTGCCTCTCTTCCCACAGCGCCCCCAGCATTGATCCTTCCCACCTTTTCTCATGAAGTGTGAGGTGAAACCTCTGCTTTTTTGTGCATTTATTGTGCATTGCTTTATTGTGCATTTATGTATCACCATTGGTGATCTGGAGCATGTTTTCCTGAGGTCATTTACAATTTATAATTCTTTTTATTTATTTATTTGTTTGTTTATTTAATTTTTTAGGCAATTGGGGTTAAGTGACTTGCCCAGAGTCACACAGCTAGTGAGTGTTATGTGTCTGAGGCTGGATTTGAACTCAGGTCCTCCTGACTTCAGGGCCGGTGCTCTATCCACTGCGCCACCTAGCTGCCCCTACAGTTTATAATTCTTTTAAAACTGTTCATATTCTTTGACAATTTATCTATCGGAGAATGGCTCTCAGTATCATATATTTGTGTTAATTCCCTGTGTATTTGGGGGAATCAGACTTTCATCAGTGCCATTTGATGCAAATGTTTTTTCCTACTCAATTATTTTCCTTTTAATCCCTCATTGATTTTTATTATACATTTTTAGACTTTATATAGTCAGAGCATCTCTTGTTTAGTTAATAATTCTCTGCCAGTTATAGTTGTAAGAGGTACTACCTGATCTCATTCTTTTCTAACACAAATCCTCTGCTCTGACCAGGTCAGACATCTAACATTCCCCTACACATGACAGGATCATTTCTACTTTCATAACTTTTCCTGGAATGCATTCTGCTTTCTTCTGCCTATCCAAATCCTACCCACCCTCCAAGGCCCAGCTCAAGTCTCACCTCCTCTGGAAAGGCTTCTCTGATGACTCCAACTGAGATTAATCTCTCTTTAGACTTTCTGAAATATTTATTTCCTATATCACATATTTTAGAATTTGATCATATACTACCTTGAATTGGTCTATGTATCGACAACCCTAAAAGAGATTATAAGCACCTTTGTTGTTGTTCAGTAATTCAGTCATGTCTGACTCTTTGGGACCCCGTGGATGATAGCACCTCCACTAGAATTCTGTCTGTGGGATTTTCTTGGCAAAAATACTAGAATGTGTTGCCATTTTCTTCTCCAGTGGATCCACCTCTTGTCGGAACTCTCCACTATAACCTGTCCATCTTGGGGTAACCCTGCACAGCCTAGTTCATAGTTTCATTGAGCTATGAGGCCTCTCTGCCATGACAAAGAAGTGCTCTAGGAGGGGATAAGCACTTTTAGAACATGGATAACTCTTCTTCTTATAGTCCTCATAGTGATAAGCACCCCTAAAGTACTTGTTGAATGGAAATGACTCTAGTTGCCTGTTGTCCGTAACCCTCTGAAGCCTTATTGCGGAGCCTGAAAATAAGGGTGAAGGGTGGTAGTTTTTTTTTTTTATTTTGTTTTGTTTTGTCATTTTTATTGGTTATTTGTTTCTTTTGGGGAGGGGAAGGTATTAGAATTTTGGAAGTATTCTAGAGAAAGAATAATCTCAGTGGCAAAAAATAAAATAAACAAATGAATCATGTTCAGTTTTAGTTTGGGAAAAGCAGAGCCAAACTAGAGGTCATCCAGAGGAGAGTGACCAGAATGTTGAGATGGTGAAGGACCATGCCATGCAAAGATTGTTTGGAGGAGCTGGAGAAGAGATAATTCTTGCCCAGGAAGGGAGGATTAAAGTGCAACATTTTAGCAGTCCTCAAATACTGGAAAAGTTCTATGTGGAAAAGGGAATACATTGTTCTGGATGACCAAGAGGACAGAACTAGTAACAATGGGTAGAAATGGCAGAGGAGCAGGTTTTATGTAAGAGAAATCTGCCTAATGGTGAGAGCATAGATTATCACTCATCAAGGAGGGCTTAGAAGGGGTTTCTGTTCAGGTCTGGGCTGAACTGGATGACTTTGGATACAGAACACTTAGAGCCCTGAGATTCTGGGATTCTATACAGTACAAGCCTTCCCCAGATTATCTAAGTAACTTTTTGCTGGTATTTTCCCCCCTTCTGCTGTCATTTACCAGTATACCCCCCACCCCATCATGGAACCCTTTCTTGTAGCAAAAAAGTACCGTTGAGTGAACCAAACCAATACGTTCACCACATCTGACAGCGTGTGCCTCATTGTGTGCCTGTAGTCCGCTACCTCACTGTTTGGAGGAGAGGGGTACCGTCAGCCCTCTGGAGTCAAGACTGGGCAGTGCACTGATCTGGGATTTAATGTCTTTTAGTATGGTTTTCCTTGACATTATTGTGGTCATTTTGTATGTTGTTCTCTTGGTTCTGCTTACTTCATTCTTTAGTTCAGACAAATCTTCCCAAATTTCTCTGAATTCATTTCCCCTTTCTTTTTTGGTGGGGGGTGGACCACACCCCTATTTTCATTCCTTCCAATGAAGAAGTTCAGTCTAATAATACAGATTGACAGCTGTTCTACAACTTGGGGTCATGAAGAGTTGCCTGGGGCCTGGAGAGGTCATGGGGGGTCACATTGCCAGTAGGTGTCAGAGGCAGAACTCAAACCCAAGTCTTCCCGACTCTTAGACATCCTCTCTCTATATACACTGTGATGGCCCCTCCCCAACTTCATCATTTCTTATGATGCAGTAATATTTCTTTACATTAATATACCACAATTTGCTTAGCTGTTCTCCCAAATGATGATTAAACCATCTCTCTCACACACACACACACATATGCACACACACACAGAAATGAAGAGCATTGCAATGAATATTTTGTTATATAATAGGACCTTGTATATCTGTAATTATTCTCCTTGATGTATATGACCAGTAGCAGAATTGCTGGTTCACAAGCTATGAAGAGTTTAGTGATTTTTCTCTCAGTTCCAAATTGCTTTCATTTTTTCCGGAGTGTTTAGATTAATTCACAGTTCCACCAACACTGTATTAACGTGCCCATTTCCCCTATGACCTCTCCAATGTTGAATATTTCCATTTGTCATCTCTGCCTACTTGATGGGTATGAGGTAGAACCTCAAAGCTGTTATAATTTGCATTTTTCCTATTAGTGATTGGAGCATTTTTTAAAAATGTGGTGTATTAATAATTTAAAATTAAAAAAAAATTAAAAATTTTTTCCTGACACTGTTTGTATCTTTTGACCATTTCTATTGGGAAATGGCTCTTGCCATATTTGTGTTACTTTGCTATATGGCTTGGAGAGTCCTTTTAGGAGTACTGAGCCTGTGAGTTCATTGAGATAGAGAGCTCCCAAATGAGGAAACTCCCCCTACCACTTTCTCTACAGCATATAATCTTAGTTGCCTAGAGGCCTGGAGAAGAAAGATCACTTGCCTTGGGTCAAGCAGCCAGTGTGGATCAGAGTCAGGACTTTAACTCACATCTTCCTGGCTCCAAGGCTAGCTACCTCTCCAGTATACCATGCTTCCTCTCAGTTTAAACTTTTATCAAAGATTGTTTGATATAAAGATTTTCCTGTAATTGAGTTTCCCTTATCCTAGCTGCTACATTTATTTTGTTCATACAAAAGCTATTATATACTCAGAATTTTCTCTTTTGCATTAGTCATTTGGTGAAGAACTACTTTCTTTTTATTGGTTTAATTTTTGTTACAAGGAAAGGGTCAGGGGCAGCTAGGTGGCATAGTGGATAGAGCACTGGCCCTGAAGTCAGGAGGACCTGAGTTCAAATCCGGCCTCAGACCAAACACTTGACACTTACTAGCTGTATGACCCTGGGCAAGTCACTTAACCCCAATTGCCTAAAAAAATAAATAAATAAAAAGTCTTTTTTAAAAAAAAATAAAATAAGGAAAGGGTCAAGGGGAAGGTTGTGAAGGGGAGGGATAGATTCGGAAATAAATGTGACATAGAAACAAAAGATATAAATAAAATTAAGATAAATATTTTTTTAAAAAAAAATCCTCCAGCCAAAATTGTGAATGGTACATCCATTCATTTTCCTCTAATGGTTTTTTTTAATAATGTCACCTTTCATATTTAGGTTGCATGTTCACTTGGCACTTTTTATGGTATAAGATGGCGAT